CCCACCACCACCACCACCACCACCCCCAACGGCCCCCCGGGGGGGAGCAGCAGCAGCACAAGCAGCCCCACCAACCCCGGGCGCCCCGCGGAAGCGCCCCCCCCGCCGCCTAGCGCCCGCCCCGCCCGCGCCGCCCGAGCCGCCGTCGGCCGAGGCGCCGGCGCCGGCAGAAGCGGCAAACACCGGCGCAAAAGGCGCCCGGGCGCCCAAGCCGCGAAACCCCCGGCGGGCAGGGCGGGCAAGAGAGAAGGGCGGGAAAAGCAACAAGCGGGCGGCCGGGAGAAAACGGCGCGCGGGAGGACGCGGCAAGCGGGGGGACGACGGGGGGGGGGGACGAGGCGGCGGCGGCGGGGGTGGGGGGGGCGGGGGGCGGCGGCGGATCATCGGTGGGGCGCCCAACACCATCAGCAACACCAGCGAAACGTACGAAAGGTGTGTGAAAGGTATACTAACCCTCTACAACCCCCCCTTCGTGCCGACTCCCCTGCTTGATGAACCTCTTCCCGTGTTTCTTCAGTTTAATCTGCCCAGCCACCCCCCCGCGGCCTGGCCCCCCCGGTAACGTCTTCATGTACTTCTTGTTCTTCGAAGCCGCGTTTATTGTCGCTTCTTCTTCTATTATTTCCCATCATCATCAGTTTGATACCCTCCCCCCCACCCTCCCCCTAACGCGTCGGGTTGGGTTATCGCATGCATACCTTTGCGCGACTCCATCGTCGTGTCGTCGTTTATCAAATCAATCAATCAATCAAGCAGCCCAATAAGCCCCGTAATGGAAAAAAAATCGAGTGGAGCAAGATGGTAGCGCATCACACAACCGAGTAAAAAAAAATCCTTCGCTGAGTTGGGTTGCTCTTTGTTGTTGTTGTTGTTGCAAAAGTCGAAAAGTCGAAAAGTCAAGGTTCAAAGAGCAAGCCAAGTTGCGCCATAGAAGTGCAGTGACTACCATTTGCGCACCACCACAAGGCAGCGCGACGTATAAAAGTGGGGACATGCACTCAAATTAAGGTTATCGATAAGCCGCTAGCGGGGTGTGATGTGCCTTCTTAGCGGGGTGCCCTGACCAAATCCATGGAGCACCTGATCCTTGAACTGATTCATATCACTCAACCATCAATCATAGTCACTCACCGATGCTGGAACAAAAAACAATATGGGTATCTCGTGAGATTATCTATGCTGCTGCTACTACCTCCGCTTGACGCTATATAAAAGATACGAATGAGGAAGAAACAAAAAACCCAATATCATTTCCTCCCCCCCCCTCCCACTCATTATCATCATGGCACATGATATTACTGAGAAGAAAGAACTGAACCCAAAAATCCTCCTTCTTGCTCGTTGCCGACACACAACACCTCCCCTTCCTACCCAAACTACTTCCTCCTACCTGCCTTCCTAATAGCATGACCACCCGAGTATAAATGCGGCCTCGGCCCCTAACCTTGGTAATTTCCATAGACATTCTGGCTCGGCACAGTGTGCTGCTGGTAGCCCCGATGAGGATGCATCATCGGCTGTTGAGGGTGGTGTTGTTGCGGGTGCGCAGGCTGGTGAAACTCGGCGAACCACTCATGATTCAACGCCTCGGCCGCCGAGATGCGCAGTTCTGGGCGCAACTGCAGCATCCGCTGAAGAAGATCGATGCCCTTCTCGTCAATCTGAGGCAAGATGTTCCGCAACGGTTGCGTCGCATACATCTGCCAATTCGCCTTATACTCGGGGAACTGTGACAGCCCCGGCCACGTCCTCTCCGTTGGCGTGCCCATGATCCTGAAGATCCTGATCGTCTGATCCTCGTTAGTGGTGCCAGGGAACAGCGGTCGTCCAGAAAACATCTCGGCCATGATGCAACCAGCTGACCAGATGTCAATGCTGGTGTTGTATGTCCTGCTTCCCAACAAAACATCCGGGGCGCGGTACCAGAGCGTGACAACCTCGTTACTGAAGGTGTTAACCGGAATGCCAAAGGCACGAGCCAGGCCGAAATCACCGAGCTTGAGCTGCAGCTTGTTGTTGATCAAAAGATTCTGTGGCTTGAGATCGCGGTGCAGGACTCGGTTCTCGTGACAGAAGTGAATGCCCTGCAGCAATTGCCACATGAAAGACTTGACAATATGTGGCTTGAGCATCCCACGCTCGCCGTTGTTGTCCATGTATTTTTTGAGATCGCCGTCCATGTACTCAAAGACAAGCATCAGCTTGTTTTCCGTGTGGATCACATCGTGCAGTGCGACAATATTCTCGTGCTTCAGCTCCTTCATCAGGGAGATCTCTCTAATAGCCGTGCTAGGGGTGCCCTCTTCCGAGTCGAGATGGATTTCCTTGAGAGCGACGAATTCGCCCGTCTGGCGATTGCGGCCTTTGAAAACCTAACGAAAAAGTTAGAACAATCCCCACACAAAGTAAACAGATATCAAGGCCGCATGACTCACTGTCGCATAGGTACCCTCGCCGAGCTTCTCCAGCTGCTGGAAGGAGCTGTGGTGCTGTCTCTTGCCGTCCATGTTTGCCGTTTGTTGATTCTGCGAGCTCGACTGTGGTGCTCGTTCGGGGTGCGAAACGACGAAGCGCGGAGTCGGCGGGGGTTGGGTGTTGGAAGTGTAAGCGCGGTTGAAGAGGATGCTTCCCGCGGTGGTTGTTTTGCGAAGGAGATCGCGTTGGGCCTCGGAGGGCGTGAGAGACTGGGTAGACTCGTGAGAAGCCGTTTTTGGGTATTGCAGAGATGCCTTGTGCGTCTCTGCAGAAAACTTGAAGGAGGAAGAAAAGCCCAACCTTACGCGCGCTTTCTAGATTCCGGGGAGTTGGTGATGGCTGATCCCCTGAGTGCTTCAAAGGGATGGTCGGCTACCTAAAGCGAGCTAAAGGTCGTGAAGTGGTGGGTGGCTTTTCTTGCCTAGAATGTGGTGCAACGGTCGAGTTTTGAACGGGCCCCTCCGAGATTGAGATGGAGCAAAAGTCTGATTGTTTGTTTCAAAGTCGGACGAAACACTGTCGGCAGGTCATGTCTCTTGGGAACTTCAGGCACAGCGGCGGCTCCAGCACATGCAATAATTGGTGGGGTTGGCGGGTGACTGACTGCGTGGGCCAACAGCGCCCCGCCGTCCGCGCCACCCCACGATGCGCCTGCCCCACTCGGATCTGCCAGGTTCAGGGCGTTCTAGAAGACCAGCTGTTATTTTTGTATAAACATAAATTGTATGTATATCCAGTTTCTCTCTGGCATGGAAATCTTGAGAGTCTTCACTTTCTTGCTTGTGGGCAAGAGCTGCGCAACACGAGGGAAGTGGCGAACGGCTCCCGTACACCAAGGAGCATGTCGAGGAGCATGTCGTAAGACTGAACATAGGGATCCAAGATGCATAGATCTTGAATGTCTTGATTGCAACCTTCCTCCCAAAGCCATATATACGTATATACAATAACCACCCCTCTCCCGCACGAGTCCTGTTATACCTCATTCCTTCTCCCCTATGACTTCCTCTCTTCCTCAACATCCATCCACTCCTAATGCCAGCAAGAGGTATC